ATAATATCAATTATGAGATTAGTTGACCGGTCCTAATATTAAAGGGTTTGATGTATGTTATAAATCCGAAGGTAAGACCGACCCTACCCATGTTCATTTCAACCCGATTCTCCTAAAACAATACTAGTTGTGCGTGCGTGTGTTTCCATGATTCGAATATCTACTTTCTCCCCCATTATATATTCATTCTCACTTATTTTAATTTTCTACTATATAGTTCTGGAAATTACAAGAATTGATGCTATAACCAACCAATTTAATTTTATATATATATATATATATTCGAAACGAATTAGAAGACCGTCACCTCATGAATTGATATATTAGATAGGGATGGTAATGGATACGTGTTTGACGGGTTCATGATCCGGAATCGATCGACTCATTTAGAATGAATTTGGGTAAGTTCAATAATTGTGGACGAGAAATGGATTCAGTTTTTAAAACTGGACGGTTCTGCATTGGAAAACTCATTGGAAAACTGATCTTATAAGAGCTGACCCAAAACCGACCCATTAATTTATATAGTAACTATATTCAATAATCAATATATATTATTTTTATTGTAAAAACTAGTTGGAATTTTTACTTTTGGAAGCTTCATTTTTCATCCTTTTCATTATTCCCTCTTATGCCCTTTTCACCTTTTCACTTTCTTGAATCTTGTTTCTTGCGAGTCATTTCATTTATTCGTTGCCTAATTGAATATGGTTGTATCATATTTTATGTTGGTGGTTGTAAGATTGAAAAGGATATTGTTCCTCGTTCATTGGTTAGCACACAAAACTTGTGAACTAGATTTGTAGCATATGGGATGGTCTAATTAGAATTTAATTAATTAGGGCTAACTAATATGCAATTAGCCTAAAAAAACATCATTGATTGTTCATTGCCAGCTAGCAAGTCATATTTATAAATTGATTCATCCTTCAAATACCAATTCCCTCGAGATGGTGTATTATTTGAATAGTTGTTCTACTAATTCATCCAGAAGTACGGAAGACGTGAACCACACTAGGTTAATCATGTTTGACAAGTTCGACCTACGGAAGACATGAACCACACTAGGCTAACCATGTTTGACAAGTTTGACCTAGCAACAATTGGCAAATGGATTCGAACGTGAGTCAATTAATACAATCTGACTTGCTCCAACCGCTAAATCAACCCTTGATTGTGTTATAAGTTCAATCAGCTCCCGATCTAAACCTGAAACCCAAAATGTCATATTAGCCGAGTTTGAGTCTACATCTACAAAACTGATAGCATATGAGAACTTCTATTTTGTGATGTCCGATGGTGGTTGAGTTTGACCATAGCAATGTTCGACTCACATTATCCGATTTTCACCCTAAGCGTATTTCCATAGAGAGAAAACCCAACTATTTAAATTCTGATTCGAAATAGAGTTCAATTCGTGAATAAATTAATAAATCGAGTATAATATAAAGTTATAGAAAATGTAATGTTTGTTTCCACCCTAACAACCAAAGCTCCGCCACCCTAACCCGGCGGAGCGCCACCACCCTAGCTAGTCTAATTGCTTAAAGAGGAGAATTTTGTATGAGAAGAGCAACATGGGGAAAATATTTATATATATATATATATAAAAGCAATAATGGACCCAAAAAAAATAAAATGCCCCATCATTCAAGTATAGGGGTAATGTAACCATGTGCAATCATATGGTAGTTGGCCATTTTCCAGCCCCACACACCTCTCTTTTTCATTCACCCCCTAAACCCCGATTATGTATAATTTTAGACTCGATGAAATACACTATGTAGTTTTACATCATTAATTTACACATGCGCATGTGTGTTTAATAGATAGTTATTTATACAAATTTACGGTTTAAAATCACATGGTGTATTTCACCAGATGCAGGATCTCGTAATCCCCTAACCCCCTTCCCTTAACCTTTCAAAATTAAATGTAACATATATACTTGTATTATGTATAACTTTCATCTTATTTATTTCTGCACAATTTATTCTCATTTTTTTAATTTTATTTTTTTGATTTTTCTTCTTTTTCTTTATTCCAATTTTGTTATAGATTTTAAAAAGGAGTTCATATTTTCAATTTCAAGATTATACCATCAGTCAGATATTAAAGAAATAATTAAGCATTTACTACTTTAAATTATAATATTTTTAAAAAATAGTACTCAGAGGTTTACCTAATTTTTCTTAAAGTCGGTATCAAACTAACTATATCTATATACGTCCAAAGGCGGTACTAAAACAAGTACTCGGTTTTTTTTTTGTCCAGAGAAATAACACGTAAATTGTACTAAGCAGAAGTCACGTGCGACAAGCTTGACCTAAAAACGTTGCCAACTACACTAAACTAACCTTAGGAGCCAATGAAAGAGTACTACTTTACACACATACAAAATATATTCACACGTATAGAGATTGATTTTCTTGAGTCATGACCATTAATATTCTTCTTTTTTCCTCTCTCTCTCTCTCTCTCTCTCTCTCTCTCTCTCTCTCTCTCTCTCTCACACACACACACACACACACACACACACACACACACACACACACACACACACACACACCACACACACACACACCACACACACACACACTTATATACCATTTGTTATAAAAGAGATCTCGTGTCAGAAGATCAATGAACTTAAAGTTTCCATTTTTGTACTTGTGAGCAAAGGAGATAATATATACTGCACAATATATATATATACACACACACACACACACTATAAAACCCTAAATTCATCTCCATAGTTGTAATCAACTAGCATCTTCTTTCTTGTTCTCCTGCACATATACATATATATATAACTCAATGAAGAGTACTGATAATAAAAGCCTAGTTAAAAACCCTAGCTCCATGAAAACCAAGCTGGCTCTTCGATTTCTTCGATCCATGAAGAAACTGATGAACAAGAAGAATAACACAACATATTCTTGTAGATACCGTGCGATCAGAGCTGCTGCATACGCATCAATGGCTTCCGTTGTGGGGCCCAACAAGGCGTGGAGTCGGGCCCTGATCGGAAAGCGTAGAGAGAGAAAGAATCGCGTTGTTCGTCGTGGTAGAAAATTAGTTCTGAGGGAGCTAGTGCCAGGTGGCAAAAGCATGGATATTTGCAGGTTGTTGAATGAAACTGGTGATTATCTAAAGTGCCTTAGGGCACAGGTGCAGGTCATGAGAGAGATAGTTGATAATTATTCTTCAAGATTA